GGTGAGGATGATTAATCTCCCCCCTGCCAACCGATATCGATCGTGTGCTGAGTCATCGCCCGTTGCTGCCACTCTTGTGCCGGGCGGCTCCGTCGCTGGTGTCCAGCGACGCAATCGCCGAGTCTGACCGAGGTCTAATGCGTTAATATTGAGCTAATGGTACCAATTGAAATCGATCAAGATCAATTTATATTTCAAATATTGTGCAACAACTTAACTTTAATTCTGACATTCTTTCACTCGAGTTGGGACTTCTAAACAGCAAATATTAACGCTGACGCCTCATCACTTCATCTCCGATAGGAAACATTTCCAAAAAGTTATATTATTTTATATTTTAACGTAACGAAGAGGTATCCGATTTTAAGCATAAAATCAGAAAAACGGTCGATAAGAGCCAGACACAAAAAGGCAGAACCTAAAAAGTCCCTTTCACAAAATGAAAACATACGCGGCAATGTGACACCTATCCAGGTGTGATTCGCCACTCGACTGAAGCGCTTGAAGCACTACCGCTCCTATTTGTCTAACATGAATGAAACCTCTGCTGATTAGTATTTTTCAGCAGGTCTGAAGCGTTCACCACCAAAACTTTGAAGAAAAAGACCTGCACTCTGTACTAAGAAATTATTACCAAACGAAAAAAAGCAATTTCTTCACACAAGCGCTTTCCTTATCGCGACACGGCAGGAGAGCTCCACGACAGCCCATATCGCTGGCAGCAAACGAACTTGCGTTTTTTGGCACAAAAATCAATGAACAATAAAGCTGAGCAATACATACAATTCTTTTCTCGGTTATTCTTTGGGTATTGATTTTGGATACTACTACGGAACTAGTAATCATCGCTACAAAATATCAGAGATGGTAGTAAACCGTGACAATTTGTAGAACTTAACCACCGTCGTGATACTCAAACGATGAATAAAAATTTACGCCCAAACCTGAAGATTTTTTAGATAGGGACTTAAAATTATCAGTGGGCTTGACCCAGATACAAAACAGCGATCAAATATCCCGGAAAGGCCTCCTAAAGCAGCTATAAAGGCCCATTCAACTGGTTTACTTGTCACCCTGCTCCCATAAATCGCCAAGTAACTGCCAGGCTTCTTAGAGTAGTGAGTGTTATTGGCACACTTTTGCGTAGCAACAATAGGGCACACGCGTAGTCAGTAGTGCATTAGATGCGTATCGATCGTCAGACTTGCCCGTGTATTCGACGATCGATACGTATCTAACGCTGTGGCGACCGTTAACCAATGTTGCTGTCGGACGAACAGACTAATAATGGCACCCTAAGGGAGCGATGTGGTGCTAACTTAGTTGGGGGGGGGCACGCACGCGGCGCGGCAGTCTGCTCACCTGGGCTCTCTCGAGCGAGACAGTGTAAACTCGAACATTCCAGCTTTTCACGCATGTCAAGTGACTGCCCCCACCCCCCACCCCCTAGACTGCCTACACTCCCCCTGGCCCACGGATTTCCGAACATGCCAGGCGAGCAGACTGCCGCGCCGCCGCGTGGCCCCCCCCCAACTAAGTTAGCACCCGCCTGTATAACTGAAAAAATTTTGAAACTCCTCAGCTAAAATAATGTCTATCTTGCGGATAAATCTTAAACCTAACGATCACTGATGGTAATCCCAGCGCTGCTCATCCCCATTATAGAACGATGCGCTTGAAGAGTAGAGAAGACTTCAACGGTAGCAAAACCGAGTGTTGAAAAGATAAGAACATTCCCAGACTGAGGGCCCGTCAAATTTCATCGAAGATTTTCATCAGCAATCATGACTCATCATTCAATTGTGGGTGGCACCCTCAAGCGCTGTTTGAAGCCAAGTGCGGGTCCTCTCAGGACCCGCACTTGGAATGGTTCGCTCAGCGGCGCGGTCGCGCAGCGTTTGCATTCGAACGTTGTCAACAATATCGATGACGTAGGGAGTTGGTCGATTGCCAACAGAGCGAGTTTTGGGCCCATTGAGACATTCATCTCTGGAATCTCTTCCTGATCGAAAGAAAAACCACCCACTTGGGAAATTGTGTTCATATTTAAGCATTCTTTCTTGATATCGTTGAGCACAGGGATTTCAGTAGTTTTCTTGTCTGCATAGGTTCTGTTCATTCTCACCAGTATCACTTCTTTGATCGGTCTCATGTAAATCAGCCCATATTTCTAGAATAGCTATATTCCTGAATGAGGCATTAGAACTCGTTCCAAATCGCTATTACTCTCGCCTACTAGATAGTATGCCGGATACTGAAATCTCATCTTCTGCTGTTAATGCGGCTTGCTCGGATTCGAAGGAATCAGAGTCGATCAAGGTTTGTTAATTCGAGAAATTTACTTTGTCAGGCTCAACACATTAGGATGAGAATTGGCTTCTATTAGACTTTCAATATATCTCTCCGAGCTCTTTTTGCGGTAAATGATATACCAATTACCATCGGAGCTGTTCATCGTGCAAGGGAAACTGCACGTGCAAATGTTTTTTTTTCCAATTTCACAACTTTATGATCTCAGCGATTGATTTCCTGCAGGAGTCAACGTCACTAGGCGCAGATTCCAAGGGCGCGGATGTCACTGATGAAGGTGTAAAGGAAAAGAAAGAGGAAAAGGGCAATGGATTGATTGACAACATAGACATCAGTAGAGTAAGTGATTTTTCTTTTTTTTTCTTCAAATTCTTATAGCGATAATCAATTGATGCGAATATTGATTTTCACTAAAAATTTGTGTCGCTGCTAGCTTTTTGCGAGCGTATGCCTTAATTATCGAGGATTTCAAGTTTATTGAAAGATTTCTGGTTCTTCATGACATAAGTGCAGAAGTAGTAAATCCGGCTGATCGCTAGTACTTTGAAAGGCGGAAACTTTTCACTACCTGCGATCATGCGGCGTCGCGAATTTCGCTGAAATTTTTTTGCTCGCTGTTAAAGCTCAATGTAGATTTTTCAGGAGGCGCGTAACCGTGTGAAACTGTACGTTCTATGCGATCAGAGAGTCTGGGATGATCGTGGGACGGGTCATGTGGCTTGTGTTCAGATTCCAGATCAGCAAGGCTTTGTTATTATTGTCAGGCTAGAATCTGCCACTAGCGGAGCAGGTGACCACGTTGCAGTTTTTCTTGCTCTGGTTCTTTTTGATATTAATATCCGAACGCTTTTCTACGGGCATCTCTTCAGATAAAAATGTGCTGGAGTCGAAAATCCTAATGGACACTGTCTATCAGAAGCAACAAGTGAGTCGAACCTTCTTGTTACGTCATATCTAATACTTATTGCTCATGAGGTTTTGTGCTGTTCTTACTGCGACCTCTCTCATTGCTGCTTTTCCTTACATTTCTAGCTCTTTTTATCTGTTTCATCCCTCGTTATCCCTTCTTTTTACCTAAATTGTTACAATTTTTCTGCGTAAAATGCGGAGAATTCGCGAAGTACTGTTCTTGATCGTGGCAATGACAATGCTGCCTGTGCACCGTTAAGCTTGTGCATTGAAAAAGTAAGGTTTTCTAAACTAGTTAATCCATTAAAAAACTAGATATGTTGTTTAACCGAAAGTTTTTTGCTTGTCGCGAGAAAAAGCAAATCACAAGCAGGTCTAATTGCGTGAAATTCAGGACCGTTATACTCGAAAGTAGATGTGTAATACAGATAGAGGACTATGTGACACGTCACAGAATGACAGGGCAATTGTATAAAAAAAAAAATGTTGGGGGGGGGGGGCGAAAATTTGTAAATATGGCTGACTTATGCCATCGCTAATTGTTTATCGGTGTGTTGCTAAAGGCTCCTCTTAATTCCATTTCGGTCGTACTTTTATTTCGTAATCCGCATGGCCAAGGAATAAACAGTTCACATTCAGATCTGTTCTGCCCAGTGTCATTTCTGAGTATCATCTTTCATGTACGGCGAACGTTTGGGCTTACGCAGTAGACCGTCGTTACCACTGTTCAATACCGCTTCATTGGTTTTTATTTGAAATACTCAGGGGGAATCAGAAGCGATCCCTGCAAGTTTCAGTGCGAATGGATGAATAGGCATCACCTAATGATCGGGAAAGCTCAAAAAGGGATATATTTGGTTGTTAACAGCGGATAGGAGCTGATTGCAAATAAGCTCTGGTAATTTATACCTAGTACTTACCGGGTTGGTATATTTTTTTGTTATGGCTATTTTCTCATCTAGAATTACAGTCATTGAGTAATCCTAGCCGTTGTTTTCCGACCTAAGTTTCGTCCTCCAGGAAATGATATGCGGGGATGGTTTGCATGCCAAACACTTTCATTTGGCCCTGACGAGGAAGAGGGACAAGGCGAGGGAAAGTTGTCATGCAGAACAGGGTGCACAATTAAAGGTGCTACTTATCTAGTATAGAGCTCAGGGTGTAGTAAGTTTTTGCTCAGCCACGAACTTGAATCAGGCTAGCATTAGAAAAGGGTTCTAGAGGATTGCTTAGGGTGAAAAAGAAATCAAACCTGTCGGAGACGGATCGAAAGGGAAACCTCATCTCAGCTTGAAGGAGGCCTACGAAAAGGAGGAAGCGCACCAATGGGTGATTCGGAACCCCAGACTACCTGAGTTCTAGGTAGAGAGATTATTATTGTTGTTTATTAGAAAAACGCGTGTCGCCACTGTCAAAAAAAAACAAGGATCATTGCGGTAAAGTAGTTTTATTCGCAAAGAAGTGGAAAACCCCTTAATTGTAGTTTGAACTAGTTTATTTCATTATGCAAATACACTGGGAAAATGTAGCGGAGATAAAAAACACAAGTTTAAAATAAACAAAAAAATTCACATTGCAGGACATAGAACAACAGCAATAGCCTGGATAATAAAACAACGAGACTTATAAGGCAACTAAGCATAAACGTAGTCGCACGTGTTAATACTGCCTGCTTTATGCTTCCTGCAAAAATCGTCATTGACGATGCACAAGGAGGTCTGGATGAATTGGTGGATTTAAGTGATACACCAAGATTGGTCCTTGACCTTCTGAGTAGGGCGATTGTTGCAATTGCATCATTGCAGTCCTACAAACCAAAATGAGCTTTTATTAATAAAGTAAGATGGGGGGGGGGTGGCGTGACAGTATGATAAATGTACCAGTGAGAGCCGGCTTGAAGGGCAACATGGTTTCAGTGGCGTATCGTGTAGCATCCCCCACTCAATTTCAAGGAGCCGTCGAGAATTTAGTTTTTGCTTCTGTTTGAGAATTGGGCATTACAATCAGCATTCTTTGTGTGATGCTAATACTGGTTCTATCAAGATTTGTTGTGCCTGCTAACCGGGGTTGTTCAGTATATTAACAATAGTTAAATCAAACACCCTACTGTACTCGTCCTGTTGGTTCTGCTCATTCCCTTGCTTTCTTCAAGTCCCAATATGTTTCAGGTTTTTATTGGTTTATTTTATTTGGCGAAATATAAATCTAGTGCCAAGAATTCTAATACATGCTTCCAGTTCTCTTTTATTATAAATGCAGTTTTTTTGCCTTCATTTTTTTTTTCAGAAAGATAAAGTAAATAATCGTAAATAAAAAAGTGAACTAGCAAATGAACTTGCAAGCCAGTTCAGGGTAAAAAATTGCGCTTTAGCGGCTGGGTTTGGTTCCATCTTGCTATTCCTATTATCATGCCTTGTAAAGGGTGATTTGCTTCTATAATGACGTTATTGCAAGAGTTTGATTGATCTCGTGATTATTTCGATTTCTTTTTTGCATTTTCGGGAGACTTTCTCAATCGATAAATGACAAATGTTAGCATGATGTAGCTTTAATGACTCCATGCATTTACATATGTCCTCCTCCATTTCATCACTCCAGATGGAAGTGGCTTTGCTTTTTGTGGTACCTTACAGCTTTTCACAGAGAAGATTAATTGCATTAGTAAATACACTTTTCACTTGATTTGTGCTGCTTGCGAGCCGTAAAGCAAACAACGGCGTAAAAGATGGGGCCTGAACATTCTCGCTGCGGGTTGTTTTCCAGAGGATCGCTTTTTTACTGCCATTTTTGTCTTTTCATCGTTAACCAATCTTCAAACTTCCCTATTTACCAGCTACAAATTGTGGTTCAGTTGGGTTTAGTCAGAGGCTATTCAAAGTAATTCGCAAGTTCAATATGAGAGGTCTGGAAGTGGCTTCAGATATTATCCGTTCTATGTAACTATGGTGTGATTTCTCAGATTTAGTCCATTAATTTGTGTATTATCATGCAACTTCTTGAATTGGGATTTGATTTAATTTATGCTCCAGTGAAGAACGCTTTAATTAAGATCATATAAGCGCTGCTAAAGCTGTTGCGCTTTTGTGCGACCGTGCCCGATTCCGTACTGGTTTTTTGAAGTTTTTACTTCTGAAGGGTAGGATGTTTATTCGACTGAAAAATTGTTTTGTTACCATTACGGTCAACACTTCGTATTTTGCACTGCAGTACGATAGGTTTTGAGTTGAAAACGCGGGCACTATAGAGCGCCCTGTTTTTGTGTTGACGTCAGGTTTGGTCGGCGGACTGGTTTACGAATGACTAGTGCCAGAATGATGGCTGTTTCGTGCTGCTAGAGAAACTCTGTGTTCGAGTCAAACGGTCACATTTCTGCTCTATGAATATTGTGACAAGCGATTCCTGATAGTTTTCAATTTTATGCTTATTTCACTATCCCATTTTCGTTTCTTGCTTTCTTGCTCACTGTGGCTCTCTTTTTATATTGGCTGTGGCTGACGAATAGTAATCCAAGTTAGTCAAAAGGAAATCGCGTGTGGGATCTGTCACTGTTCACCTGGATTCGGCTTCACTTTTAGCGAATGCTTTTATAGGCAGAACAGAATATGATCCCCATGTAAAGTGGTTCAGTTCACGATTTAGCTCACTCAACTGGAAGGGTTTCAAGGGTAACTTGATACATGTGGGCCAAAGTGGCGTCATTTGAAGATTAGACGTGATTTCTTAAAGGGCACGTAGAACGGATTCACTATGAATATATGTGCAGGCACATTGACGCTTCATTGGTTCACTGTTTTCCAGAATTGATATCTTGCTAGATTATCTGAATCTAACCTCCAGAAACTTGGCATTTATATCAGAAAAAGTTTGCGATCTATCTGTTGTGTATTGCAAGTGTCCACAATGTCGTTCAAATGGCGTTTCCTGGCCATTGGTGTGTAATTCATCACCTGTCGGTCGCACGCAATTAGAGTAAGTGAACACTGCAAACGTAGATCGAAAAGTAGGAACTTTAGCTCGACTTGTTGGCCTTGACTTTGAAGGCCTTGAGGATGTGGGATATCCACCGTGGCATTAAACTGGCTTCACTTGCAGAATGGTTACTGCGGATTTCTGGTTTCAGTCTTATGAACGTTTCGGCAAATTGGCGTCCTTCTTTGCATATGTCGCAAAAATTGATTCCATTATTACGATACTCTTTAGCTGTTGAAATATGAGAAGTTCTGAGTTTTGCTGTGATTCTGCCTACTTTTTGAAGTTGTTCGCAGAACTTGCTTTACACCTATGACTTCCATCAAAATTCCAGGAAGAGCTGATTCAGAAATTTGGTTAGTGAAGGGATTTCGCTCATGAGGCGAAAGCAGAGGCATTAATCAAGTGTTTGTTTCCCCTTCCAGAATCAATGCATGTGTACGATCAAAGGAATTGGGTTAAAATTACAACAGGGCATTTGTCGCACTCAGTTTGCCCACGTCATGAATACTGTATTGTTTATTGTATAAATGAAGTGAGGGTAGGCGCACAGTTCACCCAAAAGTCCAGCTGGCTTCTTATCTTGTTGTATTTTATTTAGTTCATGTGTTTTACCTACATCAAAACCCCAGTGATGCTTTTAAATGATCGCAGTGTTTTTCCTACAGCGAATGTGCCAAGTTGCACTTTTGACAACACTTGTCTGTCCTCGGCGTGTCAAGAGTAATGAGTGAGAAAATTTTGAATCAATAGATGCACCAGCGAGCAAAAGGAGTAACTTCGTGTTTTATAATTAAGGCAATCCAAAAATCCAACCTTAATTGTTGACCTCCTCTGTGTATTTTTCTTATTCGAATCGCTGAGACTCACCAATTTTTGTCCTCAGCCTTTGAAGGCTTTGCGGTCAATCACAGAAGAGGTTTTGAGCGAATTTATCCACGTGGTCGCAACACTTTGTGAAGATAAGCTTATGTAAATCTAGGCTAAATCTCTGAAAGATAATGTTTTTCCGAACATGACAAGATTTTTGTTGTTCTCTCAATATTCATTGGGGGAGGGTATCACTTAAAGATCCTCAAATTTGGGATTATTCCTGGGTGGATATGTAAATGATTTCAATAGAACCTATGGTACTAATTTTTGTACGATACATTTCTGTTTTTTGAGTCTGAATATTTGAAGAATAAATTCCAAAGGCGCTACCTGCTTTGGACTGTAGCTTTTAGGAAATCATGCAATTAAGCTATCCGGTTTTCTCAACCTCGACAAATCTGCATTTACAAGTTGTGCACCATCGTTAACGGTAAATCGTTCTATGCCCTATAGATGACAAGTGCACAGCAAAGATAAGCAGCTGTGCTTCTATTGCACAAAGCTCATTCGCCTTGTACTTTCCTCTTCCGGTTTTCGCAGTTATGAAGGAATTTACTGACCATGTTTTTTGTTCTTGTTCTTTATTCTTCTTTACTCCATTCCATATTCTTCTAAATCAAATTCACTCGACGGTAACTGCCACGTGCAAGGATGTCGCCAACTGAATCCTCCTTGCGTTCGGACCTACGATTCGTAGTATTTTCTGCGTTAATTTAATTTGTTGGTGAGGTAATAGTTTTTTAATAGAGTCATGATCGTCAGCTGGTGCACATTCGATGTCGCCGTGTCTCTGAATAATCAGTCTGAAGGAAGGGTCGTTCTCACCTGTATCAGCTGTCGTCCCGTTTATCACCGAATTTCTCGAGCGAACGCCAACAACATCTCCATTTGTCGCTGACGGGCCAAGAGTTTATTTCAGCGGGTCTTTCTTGCTGAAATAAAACGAATCAGATCATTTCTCCCGTGCACGGCTTTTGTGGAAGGTGGACCTCTTGCTGATAGTTGTTGTCGTGTTTTTACGACATCTCAGGTTTAGTGATCAACACAGTACAGCCCATATGTTCTAATTACGCAATCGTCGACTTTTTGGCTAAAGTGGTAGCGTTTTCGATAATTGATTTTCGAGACTTGGAGATCGAAACCCCGTACTCCTCTTCCTTCTTGTGTGCGGCGGGGATTCCAAGCGTGTTCCATTGAACAGGCCGTTGGAGCAAAGTCAGTTTCTGAGGCATATTTGTTAAGGCAGAAAGGGCTCCAGGATCGAAGAGCTGGGCCCAGAAGCAAATGTACCTCTCTTGAATTACTTCGCATCGCTTCCATGCTACCCTCTGCAGGTTTTTTTTTCTGCTCAACTTTGGAGATAAGGAATTAACCTGTAGTACTACGACACAGGAATATGCTTGCCGTCGCGGTAGTCTCATTGTGAGTTGTGTCGTGAAAGAGAATTAGCGTTCAGCAGAAAAGTGGTAATTTCCTTCACAGTTCGTATAAAAAGCAGTGTAGTGCAGCGCTGATGAACTCGATGGCGATTTGGGCCTCTCAATTCTCACATTATTTTTTGCTACAATACCTCTTACAAAATCTGATTCCTCAATTTTGGTCGATCATTCTTCGAAGTTTCTGATAGTATTGATCAGGGAAGTCTCACTTGGGCAGACACGTTCGAGTAGTAGCGATTACATGAACTTTGAGCTCAACGATATATTATGCTGTCCATTGTTCGTGCTAATGAACATGTACTCTTTTTATGATGGAATAGAGACGCCCTGCTCAGCCATTTGTTGTAGCGTTATTAAGTTTACTATGTCTAAACAGCTGGAGTGATGTCGCGTTTCTTAGTTCCATGCATCATTAATCCGGGTAAATGAGACGTATGGCCGGTTGCCAGGCGACTCATGATCTCATCTTTTATTTCTTCCTGACTTTCTTGTTGCGAATGAGTGCGCCTCGTTAGGCGGGCGACACCTGTATGTGCGATAACACACACCTGGTTGCTTGCTAGCTCTTTACGATTGTTCTCTCAAAACTATCATTTCTTAGTGTTCTATCCCGAAGCCTCATTAGGACTCAAATGTTGTATAACACAAAGAACCACCAAAAAATTTCATTTCAAAAGAATTCCAAGAATTCACAATTGACAATATCGCATGTAAACGAGGGCACGGCACAAAAAGTTAACAATGTGATCAGGAGGTTAAGGCTCCCCGTACGCCTCATATTTTGTTCATCACACTTTCAAAGAAATTCTTTTCGAATTGCTTTTTGGTTTTTTTTTAGAAAATTCGGAGTTTTCGTGAATTTTTGTAATTCTTTAAAAAATTGATACCTCTTTGTGATATACAACATTTGAAACTATTACTGTGTGAATTTGTGTGCAGTGGCGAAGCCTATTTAATAGGATACGAATCACACGTTCTCAGCCTACCTCGTTTGCGTCTTGCGGTTTCTCTCGCGTGGTTAATTGGTTGAGATATCCTGCAATTTGCTGCGCGAAAGTAGTTTCTGAAGGCAAACGTGTTCTTATACCATCAAACTTATTGAAAACCCCAATGATAAATCCAACAGTCATGAATGCATCACGTGTTGAGTTTCACCAATTACGTTATAAATGATTTTGATCATAAACATTGGACAGGACATTGCTTTTCTCTTTTTCATTAACACAAGTTTTACTCGCTAACACAAGATACCGGGGCTCATTAGTGGCAATAACTACGGGAACCGCGTAAAACATGTCTGTTCTCGCAAGAATGAGGAGGCCTCTAGCGGGGGGGGGGGGGTACTGGTGTCTAAGTCCAATTTTCGTCTTTCCAGGTCCTGCTCCCCTCTCTAGGGCTTTTTAGTCTACAGGATTGATCAGTGTATCACGAGAAGCCCAGTCTTCCACACTTCTTTTGTAGATATGCTAATAATATTAACAGCAGTTAGAAACTTCCATATGAAGTTTTGTTGATAGAATGTTGTTATCTGGTACGAATTTCTGGTTGATGCCGTGTTTTCGGAGTGATCATTTTGTACTCCTACTGACTAGTATAGGGCGCCATTCGTTGCGGGACCCACTGCCTTAACCCGCGGGGATCCCGGTTGAATTCGAACATTCCAGCTTCTCACGCATGTCAAGTGTCTGCCCTCACCCCCCACCCCCCTAGACTGGCGACACTGCCCCTGGCTCACGGATTCCCCGCTCCACATTGAAGGGTTCACTGTAGCAGGAGGCAGTGGGACCCGTAACGAATGGCGTCCTTTACTAGTCAGAAGGAGTACAAAACGATGCGTTCGTATTTTATACGCTGTGAAAGCTGTTTTAGCGATTGTGGTGGATATTCATAAAACACATGACAACCGTATTGCACCCTACATCGATTCCTTGACTCGGAAATGTAAATGATTAGCATCTTTAATTGATTACGTGAGAATGCCTGAGGTGATTTCATATCCTCCTCTTTTTCCCTCCTTTAAAATCCACGTTATCTGCTTCTATCTTATTTACAATTTGAAAATTCTCAGTCGGTTCACAGAACGATATTTTTCTAGGAATACTGCAATGACTCAACAATGTACTTTTGTATGACGATATTCTCATAGTTTTTACTTCAGGAAACCCTGATTGTGTGGTCAGAATCGGATACGTGCGACCTGGCGCTGAGCTTCCAGGAAAAGTCGGGCTGTGAGGAGATCTGGGCGAAAATTTGCGAGGTGCAGGGACGTGATCCTGGAGACTCGGTACGATTTTTTCTCCTTGAAATAGCTCGATACGCACAGTTTTCGAACATGAAAGTGAAGGAAAGGAAGGATTGAGGGAAATAAGTCTGCTGTGGCTAAGTGGGGGATGTATGTATCTCGCGATGTCATCAATGTGTTAAAACTTAATTGTTTTTCTAACTATGGAATCTTTGAACGTCTTTCGAGCTGGAAATTCATGATGGATAGTCGTAGGGAGGCAGCAGATTTAGTCATATTTTGTGGAAAGTAATCCTTTTCGAGAGGTGTGGAATATTGTTTCGCGTGCATTATATTTATTTTTCTTTGATTATGACATACTCCATTGAGAAGTTACCGTATAGGGATTAGTGTTATGGAGTACATCTGCCTCCGGAAACTTTTCTCCATAAATGTCGATTTTTTCAACATTTAGGATGGCGGATATGACGAAATGGATGATGGAGAGTTGAGCGAAGGCTCATCGAACGCACTGTCAACCACAGGGGCTGCCGGTCGTGTAATTTTACCTCCAATCGAAATTGGCCGTCTCTCTGAAGTTGACAGCGTCATCCAAAACCATCTCGCTACGCAAGCTTTGCGCGAGAAGATGGCAAACGCAGTGGAGTCGGAAAGGTGGGTTCTGAAACATTTGCTCAATAGTTCTTAATTTTTGCTCCTTCATTATCCCTTACAGTAATTATATGGAAAAAGGAAAGTTCTAGAGCTGTTTTTATGGTAAAACATACCATAATAGCATTCCCCGTCCTTTTTTGTAATAAAGTACGAAATCGGGTTCATTTCTATGGCATTCTCTCCAGAAATATTTTAGTGTGCTTCCAAAACTGGTCGACGTATTCCATATGTGTGAAGATGTTGAACACAAAGATGGCCTGCGTACGCTGTATTCAATTGCGAAGAACTTGTTCATGCTAAATAGGAATAGTCTAAATGAGGTATGTGGTTGTACTTGTCTTTTGAGATCTACGCATAGTTGCAGACTCCCCTTATTTTTTGTTTTGTTCATCTGTCAAAAAAAAGCTTTGCGAATTGGTCTTCATGACCGCTTTCGTGCAGCTCCCACCCCACTCTCTTTCTGTACATTTGAATATATTGTATCGATTTATACTTTTTTGGTGATCTAAATATTTTTGTGGCTTCATAGGTGTAAAACAGTTGCATAGATTTCAACTGATTCTGCGAATGAAGAGATTTTCTGTATTCAGACATTGCTCAGCGAAAAGTACCTGAAGGATCTCATTGGCATGCTCGAGTACGATCCTGCGCACGAGGCACCCCGTAAACACCGCGAGTTCCTTTATGAGAAAGCGACGTTTCGTGAAGTGTTACCAATAGCGAATGATGAACTCAAGTATGTTATTTGAACACTATTCATTTTCACTGAGACGTGGAGTACAAGCCGATTTCACGAAGCTTTAGTCTGACTCTGTGCTGCTATGTTGACCGATTTAGGGAGAAGATTCATCAGACATATCGTGTACAGTACCTGCAGGATGTTTGTCTTCCTGCCCCGTCGCTCTTCGAAGAAAATCTACTCTCAGTGCTAAATAGCTACCTGTTTTTCAATAGGATTGATATTGTAAACATGCTACAGGTCGGACATTTAGAATCATTGAGATATTCTTTGGCAATCCTTTTTGAAAACTGATACAAGTTGTTTTCAGAAGGATAAGCGGTTAATGAAAGAGCTCTTCGATCAGTTGCGTGATCCAGAGACAACGGTTTCGAGGAGGAGAGATCTCGCCTTCTTTTTGAAAGAGTTTATTTCTCTCAGCCAAGGGCTTCCTCCTAATGGAGCCCAAAGCAAGGATAACTTTTTCAAGGTAAATCGATGGCTTTGCATTTCAATGTTTTTTATTTTTTCCATTCATTGCTAGTCCTACTACTTCTTTAGCTGCAGGTCGGACATTCAGAACTGGGCAAACCTATTTTCGGGTTGTAAATGAATAGCTTTCGATGGTATCGTATCTGCTGTAACGGAAAAAAGAAGGGAAAACTGGACATGTTTTTTGAATTCATTTAGTATAGGCTTTCGTAAGTATGCTGATTTATGACCAAAACTTCTGCCCCAGGTGGGAATCGAACCCCCATCTCTACTTCCGGTACGTTGTGCTACCTGTGACATCCTTGGGGCACTATTTCAGCTTGACTCTCTCACCCTCTTGTGACGTGAACTGCGGCATTG